ACAGGCCATTTCTAACCCAGACTGGGTTACTAGGCCAGCCTTGGGCTGGGCATCTTTCTCTGCCACCCCTTCCCTCATCAGGGACAATATGGGAGCCTCAGGTAACCCCAACTTCCGGCCAGGTCAGAACTTCTTGGCCTTCTTCCTTTTGGCCAGGTCCAGCTCTGCCATTCATCTGCCGACTTTGCCTAGGCGGGCTAGGCTGGGGATGAGCTGGGTTTGGGGAGTTCCTTCACATACTGAAGTACTAGGCTAGCTCTGGACATACAGGGCCAATGGGCCTACCTGGGGGGTCTAGACCAAGATTGTGGAGGATACAGCAAGTGAGTCCTCCCCTTCATGGCTTGTGCACACTAATCCAGACCTAGGCCTTCCAGTGCCCTTCCCTCCTTTCCTCATCCTAAGTGCCTGGCAGATGAAGGAGTTTTCAGGAGCTTTTGACACTATATAACCGCCCTTTTTGTATTGTATGCACCACGGGCGGCTTTTATATATAATTGCAGCGTGGGGTGGGTGGGCATGGGGCGGAGGGGCGGGCTCTGGGGAGATGGGAGAGTGGGCCACCTCTTCTCTCACTTCTGTTGTTTGTGGGGTTTTTGTTTTGTTTTTTTTTGTTTTTTGTTTTTTACACTCGCTGCTCTCAATAAAGAAGCCTTTTTTTTTTTTACAACCTGTTTTTGAGATTCATTCTCTGCTTTTATTCACAAATGTTGTTCCGTATTTCTCCTCGCGGGTCGGAAGGGGCCCTGTGCCTTCATGGAGGCCGGTGGGCGAGGGGACTACCCAGTCGGTAGATACTGGTCCTTCCTCCAGTTCATAGGTGGTTGAGCGTATGTTCCTATTTTGCAACCCAGTGAGAGCTGCCAGCTGCTGGCTGCTGCCTGGTCTGGTCCTCATGCTCAGGTAAGGAGGGGTGGCGGGAGGACAGGTGAGACTAGGCTTGGAGAAGGGGTTAATGGCAGATGCAGGCTTTCAGACCCTTTAAAAGTCTAATAAGCTGCTCGTAATCCCAGCACTTGAAGGCAGAGGCCAGAAGGTCAAGAGTTCCAGACTAAGCCAGCTCACATCTATAATTCTAGCCACTCAGGAGGCTAATATAGGATTGCAGTTCAAAGCCAGCCTGGGCAGGAAAGTCCATGAGACTCTTTTTTTGGGGGTCAATCTTGGGGCTTGTGAACTCTGGGCCTGAACACTGTCCTTGAGCTCTTCAGTTCAAAGCTAATGCTCTTCCACTATGAGCCACAGTGCCACTTCCAGTTTTCTGGTGGTTAATTGGAGACAAGAGTCTCAGACTTTCCTGCCTGGGCTGGCTTTGAACCTCGATTCTCAGATCTCAGCCTCCTGAGTAGCTAGGATTACAGGTATGAGCCACCAGCGCCCAGCCATAAGACTCTTTAACTACCAGAAAACTGGAAGTGGGACTGTAACTCTAAGTGGTAAGAGTGCTTGCCTTGAACAAAAGAACTCAGGGACAGCACCCAGGCCCTGAGATCAAGCCCCACCACTATACCCCCCCCTCCCCCAAAAAAGTTCCAGACTTGTCTAGGGAGGGAGGGAGGGAGCTGGGAAGGTAGCTTAGTGATAGAGTGCTTGCCTTGCATGCATGTTTGATTCCTCAGCACCACATAAGCAGAAAAAGCTGAAAGTGGTGCTGTGGCTGAAGTGATAGAGTGCTAGCCTTGAGCTGAAGAGCTCAGGGACAGTGCCCAGGCTGAGTTCAGGCAAAAAAAGAAAAGAAAAAGAAAAATGGTCTCAGTAAACCCTATCTAAAAACAACTACAAGGAGTACAAACTCTGGGAAAGGGCTGGGATTATGGCTCAATGGTAGACCACTTGCCTAGCATTATCAAGGCCTGAGTTTGATTATCATTACACCAAGAAAAAAGACTGGGATAGAGAGGAAGTAGACAGATGGACCTGAGTAGAAAGATGTGCTTGGTGTCACTGCTCCAGGACCTACAGCCCCTCATCCTCTTACCTTTGTGTCATCTGCCCACACTGGAGCATGCTTTTTTTTTTTTCTTTTGTTGGTCCTGGGGCTTGAACTCTGGGCCTAGGCACTGTCCCTGAGCTCTTCAGCTCAATGCAAGCACTCTACTATTTGAGCCACAGCGCCACTTCTGGTTTTCTGATGGTTAATTGGAGAGAAGAGTCTCATGGATTTTCCTGCTGGGGCTGGCTTTGAACCATGATCCTCAGATCTCAGCCTCCTGAGTAGCTAGGATTGCAGGTGTGAGCCACCAGCGCCCGGCTTGGAGCATGATTTTATGCACAAGTGGAAACAACATGAAGGTCTGTTAACAGTTTATTGGCCAAAATAAGTCACATAGTGAAACCAAATGTCATCACCAATAGGAGATACTGCAGTCACATAGTAAAAAGGGTATATGCACATCATCCCTTGTGTATTGGTTCCAGAACACATAACCTCCTACCTGTAGATAGTACCAAAATCTGCAAATAGCAGGACTGTTTGCATAAGGCCTCGGTTTCAAACTCTAGTGCCACCAGAAAAGAAAAAAAAAAAGTCTCAAGTCCCTGAGGCAAGATGATGTATTTGTATATAACATATACATCTGTCTGTATGCAGCTGTTTCCAGCCACTCAAGGTAGAAGGAGAGGATGGTGACTTAGATGCCAGCCTCAGCCAAGTTTGGACAAAATTATAAGGCTCTATCTCAAAAAAACAAACAAGAACTGGGAATATGGCTTAGTGGTAGAGTGCTTGCCTATCATACATGAAGCCCTGGATTCAATTCCTCAGTAACACATAAACAGAAAAAGCCAGAAGCGGTGCTGTGGCTCAAGTGGTAGAGTGCTTGCCTTGATCAAAAGAAGCTCAGGGGGCTGGGAAGGTGGCTCAGTGGTAGAGCGCTTGCCTTGCATGCATGAGGCCCTGGGTTCCTTTCCTCAGCAGCACATAAGCAGAAAAAAATAAAAGCTGGAAGTGGCACTTGAGCTGAAGAGCTGAGGGACAGTGCCCAGGCCCAGAGTTCAGGCCTCATGACTGACAAAAAAAAAAAAAGAAGCTCAGGGACAGCACCCAGGCACTGAGTTCATCCTTAGGACTGGCAAAAGAAAAAAGGAAGGAGGGAGGGAGGGAGGGAAGGGAGGAAGGAAGGGAAGGGAGGGAGGGAAGGAGCTGGGAAGGTAGCTTAGTGATAGAGTGCTTGCCTTGCATGCATGAGGTCCTGGGTTTGATTCCTCAGCACCACATAAGCAGAAAAAGCTGGAAGTGGTGCTGTGGCTGAAGTGATAGAGTGCTAGCCTTGAGCTGAAGAGCTCAGGGACAGTGCCCAGGCTGAGTTCAGGCAAAAAAAAGAAAAGAAAAAGAAAAATGGTCTCAATAACTAAAATTAGAACATAGTATATCTTTCTTTTAAAAAAAAGTCATTAAAAGAGTTAGGGGGCCTGGCTCAATTAGTAGAGCACTTTCCTAGTATACCCTAGGTCCTGGGATCAACTTTTTAGTGCTGTAAAACTTTTATGCAACAATATTTAATCTTGCTTTTTTTGTAATACCCATTAATGTATTACTTTAAATGCTAAATTGGTGTCACTTATCAGTACCCATGAATAAGTCACAACCAAGTGCTTTATTTAATCTTAACAACAACAGTTAAGACTGGAAACATTATCCTCTCCACACATTATCCTTAAACATGTCCAGTGTGTTTAAAGGGATAAGAGATGAAGTAACTTCATCTCTGAAGTAATCTCTGGAATGAAGTAATTTACCCTAGGTAGCTCCAATTAACTACTCACTGACCTCTCAACTGTATGCTTTACTCTTTATCTCAGGAAATCTGAATCGAGTCTGGAGGGATAGGTACCAAACGCTGGTGACACAGAATGGTGATTTGGGATCAAGTCGTTCGTTACCAGGCACAAGATTTAACAAGAGACAGATACCAGATTTGCATAAGTTCCGTAACGCCCGAAGTCCAAAGTATTTTCACAACAGGCCTAGACCCTGATCCTGAACCTAAGCTTTACGGCACCCTAGATCTAACTCAAAACTAAACAAACAAAACAACCAACTTTTTCTTCTGTGCTCCTTCGCAGGGAGCATGCCCGCGTGCATCTGCGGCTTCCCTGAACTTTTCTGTCCCGCTATACTTTCAGGCCTTCCGCTGGCTATGGGGTGTGCTTTTTCCTCCGGGACCACCCCCTCTTCCAGCCCAGCCAGCAGCTGGAAGTCTTCACTGATCTCCATCTCTCCTCCCAGCCCCCACCAGGGACCGAAGAACGACGGTCTGGTCTCTCTCCCCGGGCCTTTTCCAGATGTAAGTCTGCCAAAGACACCTCCCCTCCACCTCCCTCCCGCCCCCGAGTAAAGGATGATGAATGAGGACCTGGGAGCCAGACTGGTGGGAAACTGTTGATGTCTTAAAAAGAGGCGAAGGAAACGCAGGGGGTGGGGAGGGAAGGGCAGAGACGGAGTCGACGGCACTCAGGCCCCCTTCCTCCTTAGGAAGGGGTGGGGAAGTGCTCCAATCAATCCCCGAACACCTTCACGGGACTGAACCGTATCTTCTCTCCTATGGCAAACCCTCAAGGAACTCGGGGGTTTGCCAAGTGTTTGTCTTTAGCTCCCTCCCTTCCGCAGTCGCAACTCCCCTGGTCAACTCGGGCTGGCTAAGTGTCGGTCTTTAGCTCGATTCCCTCCAGAGGACGGCACTCCCGTCCTTCCCAGACTTCCTCTTTGCTAGTCCCTCCCAATTCTTCACCATTTTCGGGCTGGGGGGCGGGGCGTTGCTGGCTCCCTCCGGCTCCTTTAAGAGGACTTGGCTCCTCCCACCTCGGAATCGCGTTCTGACGCGGGATGACAGCAGCAAGTTCGGTATGCCCATGCAAATGAGCTCTCCCTTTGGGCCAATAGAGAGCGGAGGTGCCGGAACCGCGGACCAATGGGGCGGGGGCGCTGGGGCTCACCATATAAGGAGCGGCCTCGCCATAAAAGGAAACATTGTATCTCTTTATATGGGGGGAAGGGTCGGGGGATCCCTCCGCCGCCAGCGCGTGGTCCCGGCCCCCTCCACCCGCTGTCTCGGCCGCGGCCAGCAGCCCCTGCCCCCCGGGGGACGCTGACGGCCGCCGGGCGCGCCGCCCTAGCAGACGGACAGGGGGCGCTGCGCCCGGCCTGGGGCAACCCGGGCCACAGGGGCAAGAAAGTGAGGGCCCAGGTCGGCCCGGGCGTGCAGGGGCCCCGGGTTCGCAGCGGCGGCCGCGGCCGCGAGAGCCGCACCAGCAGTAGCAGCAGCGCGAGTGCCGGGTTGAGCCGAGAAGCCCATGGCGGCGGCGGCGGCGGCCCCGATTCCTCGCTGACTGTCCGTCCGCCCTCCTGCATTGAGCGCCATGTTACCGAGCCAAGCTGGGGCCGCGGCGGCTCTGGGCCGGGGCTCAGCCCTGGGGGGCAGCCTGAACCGGACCCCGACGGGGCGGCCGGGCGGCGGCGGCGGGACTCGCGGAGCTAACGGGGGCCGGGTCCCCGGGAACGGCACGGGGCTTGCACCGGGCCGTCTGGAGCGAGAGGCTGCGGCAGCGGCAGCAACCACCCCGGCGCCCACCGCGGGGGCCCTCTACAGCGGCAGCGAGGGCGACTCCGAGTCGGGCGAGGAGGAGGAGCTGGGCGCCGAGCGGCGCGGCCTGAAGCGGAGCCTGAGCGAGATGGAACTCGGCGTGGTGGTCGGTGGGCCCGAGGCGTCGGCAGCGGCCACCGGGGGCTACGGGCCGGTGAGCGGCGCGGTGAGCGGGGCCAAGCCGGGGAAGAAGACCCGGGGCCGCGTGAAGATCAAGATGGAGTTCATCGACAACAAGCTGCGGCGCTACACGACCTTCAGCAAGAGGAAGACAGGCATCATGAAGAAGGTACGGAACCCCGAGGCCAGCCGGCCACCGGGGACCGGGCGGGCGGGGACGCGCAGGGGGAGCCCGGGAGCCAGGCAGAGGCGAGGCGGAGGTGAGAGGCGGCGTGTCCGCAGGAGGTGTGTAGGAGGGGATCGGCTGTACCGGGGGTGGGGGGTGAGGGGGGGAAGATGGAGAAAGGGGAGGGGACACGTCTGGGGAGTCGGGAAGGAAAAGGCGCCGAGGTGGGAGTGACCGACTCCGGGGAGGAAAAAGAGGGCCCCGGTGGGGTGCCGGGGTGGTGAGCCGCAGCCATGCCGGGGGACGCGGGGGCCAGCAGGTTCAGCGATCCCTGGTGTTCGGGATGGTGGGGGGGCGGCGTCGGGAAAGCTGGGGGCAGAAGAGATGGTGCAGGTGAGGAGGTTGTGACAACCGTGAGCGAGCCTCTGTAGGAGGAAGGTGGGCACCACCGGGGGGGGGCAGGCCGGGTGAGGGACCAGGTGAGGGTGCAGAGCCCCGAGAGCTGGTGGTGCTGCTTTGAGGAGCCAGCCGGGACCAAGTCCCGCCCTGGCCATGTGTCTTGCTTGCCTGTGCTTTCTCTGGAAACCTCGTGCTCCTGGCAAAGACTAGCGTTCGGAATCGCCTGCCTTTGGAACAAGTGGGGTTTCCAGCCCCAGAGCAAATCAGTGCGTGGAGTTGGGAGAGAAGTCAGAGTGGTAGAGGTACCCAGACATTCCTCCTGCCTATTATCCGGAGGAAGGTGGTAAGGACAGGGAGGCAGAGAAACTAGGAAACAAACTAGGGAACATCCGTTGGCTGATGTGTTTTATCCGTCCAATGGAGAAATCGGAGCTGCTTTCCAGGTGGGCTGTGGAACTTTGTTGAGAGTATGGGATGGCATTTCCCGGGTCTCCTTCCGGGGCTCATCCGAGTATTTGGTGCTAAATCAGATTCCTATCGCTAGTCATTTCAGACAGCTTTGTGTCTGTGTCCCTTGTCACTTATCATTGGAGATGTCACTCATCATTCCTTTCTTATCCCTCCTTCAGAGGAGGGCTGTGGCAACAGGTTAGGATCTGTGCTGTTTCTGGGAAGGTGGGGCAGCGTGGGCTTAGGGGGTCCCCTATGGCAAAATGATGTGAGGATTGAGTGTGGGAGGGATCTAGCCTGTCCCTGTGACTGCGCAGAAAGTGGGCCTCTGTGTGTGAGGCTCCAGGCTCCAAGCAGTGTTGGAGAACAGTTAACTGGATCCCTCCATGTCCCCTGAGGTCATATGCTCCATCCCTGGGGGGCTGTGACTGTGCTTGGGGTATCTACAGGTCGTTGGGACCACTCCCACAAGAAGCATGGGTAGTTTTTCTACTCCCAGCTCACCTTCAGATATCCCAAGAGGACTGCTCTGGAGTCATTAGAGGAAAGTCCTGTGGGAGTCAGGGCTGGAGATCACCGGGTAATGATTCTCTTTCCTACTTCCCAAGGAAGGTCAAGAGAAAAAGTTTTGCTGACCTGCCCATCTCCTTCCCTACTCCCAGGCCTATGAACTGTCCACGCTGACAGGAACACAGGTGCTGTTGCTGGTGGCCAGTGAGACAGGCCATGTGTATACCTTTGCTACCCGCAAACTACAGCCCATGATCACCAGTGAGACCGGCAAGGCACTGATTCAGACCTGCCTCAACTCGCCAGACTCTCCACCCCGCTCAGACCCCACCACAGACCAGAGAATGAGCGCCACTGGTTTTGAAGAGACAGATCTCACCTACCAGGTGTCGGAGTCTGACAGCAGTGGGGAGACCAAGGTGTGTTTGTGTCACCTCTACCTCTATGAGGGAAGGGAAAGGAAGAGGCCCCTTTCCCTCCTAGCCCAGTACGGGTAAATGGGGGACCATGGTGGAGTTGAGCTGGGTGAGGGCCCCTTTTTCCCAGGACGCAGGTGTCCATCCTCTATTCCTGACAGGAGGCCGGCCCCCAAGATAAGCGGGCGGCCTCCGTGCCCATATAAGGCCGGCTCGGGCTCCACGCCGGCCTCCCGCCTGCAGCCCGCCTGCCTGGCAGGGCCTTTGCATTCCTCCCGCCAGCTGTCTCCCCACTGGGGGCGGGGGTGTAGCTTAGCCCTGCCCTCCTGGCAGGCTGGGGCGCCTCAGAGTAGGAAGGGAGCAGGTTCCAGGGTCCTGGGAACACAGCACCGTTGGCAGATAGGCCCACTGACCTGGCGAGGGACTGACTCCCTTCCTAGCTAGCTGCTTATGCCTTCAGAATGTCGGGCCCAGGCAATTAGCTAGTGCATTTGCCGGCTGCTAGGGTTGCCGGCCTTAGTTACGCCGCCACCCCCCTTCCTTTAGCCGGGTACCGAGTAAGGAGAGGGGGCGGGGCTTCCTTCTTGCTGTCTGGGGAGCTCCACCTTCCGGGTGGCCCTTAGGTAACTGGCCAATGGGAAGAAGCGGCACTGTTTGCCTTAGCAACGCCTTCGCCAATCAGGGACCTTGAGCTCTGCTGCTTAGCAAACATCCCGTGCTGCTGACCTAACACTAGCTTTTTGAGCGTTTGGGTCTAGGCTTGGTGGCTTGGCTTGGTGGCTTAGTTCTCAGCTCCTGGTTTCCTTCTTCCCCTTCTAAGAACAGAGGCTCCCTGGGGGAAAGAGTCAATGTTCCAGGCTCTCCTTCTAGTAGTTGGATTAATTTATTGGAGAAAATTCTGGTGAATGAGTAAGTTCCTTGGTAATTTAAGGATTAAGCATTTGGCATAAAGTTACTTCATTGCCAAACCTCCAAACCTTAACTTTCTTGAAAGTCTCCCAATCCCTGTCTCAGAGCCTGGAAGATCAGAGCCAGAAGAATCCTTTTGAAGAGAACCTAGTAGCACAGCCCTTATATTTACAGGACAGGACAACACAACAGAAAAGGGAAGAAATGATCTGATCTCAGGATCACACAGATGGTTATTGCCAGCACCCAGAACAGACCCTAGAACAGAGAACGCAGGGGTTCAGGGGATTATGGTGATGGCTACCATAATTACAAAAGCAGCAAGTATTTGAGTCTTCTTATGCTTCGAGAGCCCCCCTCCCCCAACTCCAGTCCTGGGGCTTGAACACAGGACCTGAGCACTGTCCTTGAGTTTTTTGCTCAAGTCTAGAGCTCTACCATTTGAACCACATCTCTACTTCCAGATTTTTTTTTCTCTGGTCTTGATGCTTGAACATTGGGGCCTGGGCACTGTCCCTGAGCTCCTTCTGCTCAAGGTTAACATGTTACCACTTGAGCCATAGTATCACTTCTGGCTTTTTCTGTGATTTAATTGGAGATAAGAGTCTCATGGACTTTCCTGCCCCTGTTGGCTTAGAACCTCTAGGATTAGTTGTGAGTCCCCAGTCGGGGTAGGTTTTATCCCTCTTTTTTTTTTTGGTTGGTCACGGGGCCTGAACTCTGGGCCTGGGCACTGTCCCTCAGCCCTTCAGCTCAAGGCTAGTCCTCTACTTGTTGAGCCACAGCGCTACTTCTGGCTTTTTCTGCTCATGTGGTGCTGGGGAATCGAACCCAGGGCCTCATGCATGCAAGACAAGCAGTCTACCACTGAGCCACCTTCCCAGCCCTTATGCCTCTTTTAAAGAGATAGGAAACTAAAGCACAGTGGCTCCATAACTTGTCCAAGTATCCAGCAGCAGGTAGATGGTAGAGATTGGATTTGAACCCAGGAGCATTGATGTCATTCTGGAGTTTCAATTCATACAAAGCTACTGCAGGGTGGAAGCTGACTGTTGCATCTTTTCTCTGGGTATAGGACACACTGAAGCCAGCGTTCACAGTCACCAACCTGCCCGGTACCACCTCTACCATCCAAACAGCCCCTAGCACCTCCACCACCATGCAAGTCAGCAGTGGTCCCTCCTTCCCCATCACCAACTACCTGGCACCAGTGTCTGCTAGTGTCAGCCCCAGCGCTGTCAGCAGTGCCAACGGGACTGTGCTGAAGAGTACAGGCAGTGGCCCTGTCTCCTCTGGGGGCCTTATGCAGCTGCCTACCAGTTTCACCCTCATGCCTGGTGAGTCACAAGGGGCAGGGAAAGATTTGTCTTCCCTGGGACAGAGGGAGCATGCTGAGTAGTTTTAGGGCTGGTACCAGGACAACCTCTTTCTCTGTGGAGAAGGAGGCTGAGGGGTGGTCAGAGCCTGAGAGAAGCCTCTTATGTCCCATTTCTTACCGAGACCCCTGCTGTCTTTGAAACTTACTAAAGTTACAACTACACATTCTGGCCTTGTCTAGCCTAGTCTTATTCCTCTATTGCCATGGGGACAGTAGACATTCTACTTCCCTGTCTTATCTCTTGTCTGGAGGGAGATCATGTCCTTGATGGGTCAGTGCCGACTTCTGGGTTAATTGAAGAAGGTAGAAGCAAGGCCTGGGGCAAGAGGAAGAAGGCAGAAACTGGAGAGGTGATTCAGGGCATGATTTCTTGGCTCCAGGAAAGATAGAGATGGGAGTTGGGGACCAGTGTGCCAGACCCAGTCATGGAGTTTTCAGTGAGTTTGGTACAGGTGACAGCTGGGCATGATGGAGCCCAAGTAAGACACTGTGTCTTGTAGGTGGGGCAGTGGCCCAGCAAGTCCCTGTGCAGGCCATTCAGGTGCACCAGGCGCCACAGCAAGCGTCTCCCTCTCGTGACAGCAGCACAGACCTCACACAGACCTCCTCCAGTGGGACAGGTATGACTTGGATCCTTCTCTCTCTCCCTGCTTTTCCTCCCTACATGAGGTCCAGGAGAAAGTAGCCAGCAATGCTCCTTGCATACCTAAGGTTGGGAGTTAATGAAGAATACACTGAGGCTCTTGGCTTCATGCTTATGGGAAAGTCAGGTGAGGATAGTTGGGTTTTGAATTCCAACTTGTGGTGGACCATTATGGACCTCTGAAGCTAACTCCTCCCAATTTAGAAAGGAGAAATCATTTTCTTTTCTTTTGCCAGTCCTGGGCTTAAACTCCAGGCCTGGGCACTGCCCCTGAGCTACTTTTGCTCAAGGCTAGCACTCTACCACTTGAGGCACAGTGCCACTTCCAGCTTTTTCTTCTTTTTGGTTGGTTGTGGGCCTGAACTCTGGGCCTGGGCGCTGTCCCTCAGCTCTTCACTTCAAGGCTAGCGCTCTACCACTTGAGCCACAGCACCACTTCCAGCTTTTTTTTTCTGCTTATGTGGTGCTGAGGAATTGAACCCAGGGCCTCATGCCTGCAAGGCAAGCACTCTACCACTGAGCCACCTTTCCAGCCCCACTTCCAGCTTTTTCTGCGTATGTAGTTCTGAGGAATGGAACCCAGGGCTTCCTGCATGCTAGGCAAGCACTCTACCACTAAGCCACATTCCCAGCCAGAAATCATTTTCTTAATTACCCAGAAGGACTGCTAGAGCACTGGTCTCCTTGTGAGATAAATGATTTGGTATATTTCCTCTCGGGTTATCTTTGGCCACACTCAAAATTATTTTACCTGAGAGCTTGTGGAAATGCAGACTCTTAAGTGTCACCCTGAATCTATTGAATGAAAATCTGTAGGACCAATGACTTGTGCATTCCCAGGTAACTGCATTCTGTTTAAGTGCTTATTTAAAGGTGAACTAGGGGGCTGGGAAGGTAGTTCAGTGGTAGAGTGCTTGCCTTGCATGCATGAGGACCTAGGTTTGATTCCTGAGCACCACATAAGCAGAAAATACCAGAAGTGGCGCTGTAGCTCAAGTGGTAGAGTGCTAGCCTTGAGCTGAAGTGCTCAGGGACAGAGTTCAGACCTCATGACTGACCAAAAAAAAGGTGAACTGGGAGCCAAGCATGGTGTTGCGTACTTGTGATCCCAGTTTTTGAGGGTTAGAGGGAGAAGAGTTGTGAGTTCAAAGCCAGCTTGGGCTACATGGTGTTTGAAGCCAACCAGAGCTACATTGTCTCAAAATAAAAGGTATGGTGTGAATTTCCTAGGGTGAGTTTAGAAAGACGGAGGAGAAGAAGGAATAAGAACAAATACAAGCTGGGCACTAGTGGCTCACGCCTGTAATCCCAGCTACTCAGGAAGCTGAGATCTGAGGAATGCAGTTCAAAGCCAGCCCAGGCAGGAAAGTCTATGAGACTCTTATCTCCAATTAACCACCAGAAAACCAAAGTGGCCCTGTGGTTCAAGTGATAGAGTGCTCACCTTGAGCTGAAGAGCTGAAGGACAGCGCTCAGACCCAAAGTTCAAGCCCCATGACTGACAAAATAAGAAGAAGAAAAAGAGGAGAAGGAGGAGGGGAAGGAGGGAGAGGAAGAAGGGGAGGAGGAGGAGGAAGATGAGTACCAGTGGCTCATATCTGTAATCCTAGCTACTCAGGAGGTTGAGCTCTTAGGATCACAGTTCAAAGTCAGCCTAGGCAGAAAACTCTAAGACTTTCCAATAAACTACCCAAATAAAGCTGGAAGTGGAGCTGTGGCTCAAGTGGTAAAGCACTAGCCTTGAGCACAAAAGAGGAACAGTATGCAAGCCCTGAATTCAAGCCCCAGGACCAGCAATAACAACAACAAAAAGTTTCATTGCCGCCGGGCGCTGGTGGCTCACGCCTGTAATCCTAGCTACTCAGGAGGCTGAGATCTGAGGATCACGGTTCAAAGCCAGCCTGGGCAGGAGAGACCGTGAGACTCCTATCTCCAATAAACCACCAGAAAACCGGAAGTGGCGCTGTAGCTCAAGCGGTAGAGCGCTCGCCTTGAGCTGAAGAGCTGAGGGACAGCGCCCAGGCCCAGAGTTCAAGCCCCACAACCGACCAAAAAAAAAAAAAAAAGTTTCATTGCTGCTAGTCATTGTAGTGACAGGGTCTGGAAACAGTTCAGTAGATAGACAATCCTATTAGATTGTACAAAGGACACAGCACAAGAGAACAGTTTTTTAAGGTTGAGTCTTTGGTGTTCAGAGAAAAATGAGGCTTTTCTTAATGATAGATGCAAAGGAACAGTCCCGTCAACTCCTGCCCCGGGGACAGAGTACAGAGACCCCAAAGTCTTGAGTCATAGGGTGGGATTTATCAGAAGGGATCAGTTCTTCGCTCACTGATATGCATCTGTGTTTTCTAGTGACGTTGCCTGCCACCATCATGACGTCATCCGTGCCCACAACAGTGGGCGGTCACATGATGTACCCTAGCCCCCATGCGGTGATGTATGCTCCCACGTCAGGCCTGGCTGATGGCAGCCTCACCGTGCTCAATGCCTTCTCTCAGGCACCATCCACCATGCAGGTGTCCCACAGCCAGGTCCAGGAGCAAGGTGAGGGAAGGGGCAGGGCCAGAGGAAGGAGGACCTTTTCCTCCCTTACTGTTGTCCCACATGCGCCACCCATCCTCGTCCACTCATGCAACACTTACGCCCCTTACACCCACACCTACCCTCACCATGGGGTGAGAACATACTGGGCACTGAAGTCTGAGACTAACCAGTCACCATGCACTTCCTCAGCACTTCCTCAGTGGGGGGAGGGGAGGGTGTGCTCCTCTTGGGCAAGTGAGTGAGTGTCTGGTTCTCCATGCAGGTGGCGTCCCCCAGGTGTTCCTGACCGCACCGTCTGGCACAGTGCAGATTCCTGTCTCTGCAGTCCAGCTTCACCAGGTGCGTATAGGCATTTCTCACCCTTCCCACACCGCCACGTCATCCTGAGCCCTGAGCCGCGCTGAGCTCATGACCACGTGGTCAAAGCCAGACTCCTTAGCTGGGATGGGGCATGTTTTTCTGCTCAGGTATGTGGTGAGTAGGTAGGTAGGACTCTGAGCTGGCTGTTGGTCCTGCCTGCCTTCCTCATCCCTCCCCCCACCCCCCTTTCCCTCCCAGATGGCTGTGATAGGACAGCAGACCGGGAGCAGCAGCAACCTCACTGAGCTACAGGTGGTGAACCTGGACGCCGCCCACAGCACCAAGAGTGAATGATCCGTCCGCCACCCTGGACAGATGGCCCACGGGATGGCACCACTTATTTATTGTTGCCTTTTCACGTTTTCTTTACACACATGTTGACGGGCCACAGGAGGGAGGCGGGAGAAGGAGTGGGCAGCTACAGGACTATGCCCTCTCACTCCAGCCAAAGAAATGGGCCTGCCTGCCTTCCCTCTCCGTCCTCCCTCACCCTCCTCCCCTCCTTCCTGCTCTGCCTCCCATTTCTATTGATGGTGGGGCTCTCCTCCCCTCCCCCCCCAAAACTCCCTGTGCCAGCTTGGCTCGATGTTTGCCATGAGTATTAACTTACCCAACAGGACGGTGCCCCCCACACCCCGTTCCCACTCGCAGACCTTCTGTGGGACTGGGCACTGTGTCCTCCCCTGAGGAAGCAGTTTAGGGCCCTCTGTCCAGCCTCCTTGCTGACCCCATGTCAGTACTATGTCTGCCACAGGCTTGGTCAAAAGAGCTCTGCCCTTGCCCCTCAGGGAGCCAGCTGGGGAGATGGGAGCTTCTTCCCTCCCGCCGCCTCCCTCTGCCCTTTCAGCTCCTGAGGAGCTGGGCCTGCGCACTGGGCAGGTTCCTGGGGCCACCTGCCCTGCTTTGCCACTCCCATGGACCTCCAGGGGCTCTGGGGTTGGAGGAAACCACCAGCGTTCCCTTCTCCCCCTCGTCTTCCCCCCTCTCCTCCCAGCTGCTTTAAAGTTGATTTTGAACTTTTTATTTGAGGAGACGAAGTGAAAACAAATCTATAAATATATATTTTTAAAATATTTAACTTTTTTTTAATGGCGTTTTTCTCATCCCCCTCCCTGCCCAAACTCCCCCTTCCCTGGGGAGCCCGGGCTCCCCAGAACTGGCTGGGCCCCTGGGGAACAGAGCTACCCCACGAGCAAGGGTCCACCAGTTGTGGCAGGGGAGATTCTGGGATTGCCTGTCCTGGGTTGTTTCCAGGAAGAAAGCCCCGGGGAGGAGCCCTCAGGCCATGCCCCAGAGTTTGGGCTGTTGCTAGGGAGAGGGAAGAGGGAGACCAAATATGTGGGGTTCAGGGGGGGTGGGAGGGTGTCAGGTCGAGGCAACTGACTTCATTTGTGCCACATGCATGGGCATTGCAGCCTTGTGCACCCCCAGGCCTGCAGCTGCCTGGGGCTCAAGTTGCAGTGAGCAGGGTGGGGTCCGGGAGGTGGGGGGGGGAGAGCAGGACTGAGAGTGGGGGGGTCAGAAGTAGGAGCAGCTCTAGGGCTGAGTGCCGCAATGGGGAGCCAGCAAGGGGCAGCTCTCCCAGGAAGTGAGCAGCTACTGTAACTTTTTTAAATTAAGACAAAAAAAGCCTTGAAGAAAATGACTTTATTTTTCTAAGTGTAACCTCAGTATTTATGTAATTTGTACAGGGGCCATGCCCCACCCCTCTCTGCCCCTTGGGGGTAGTCCTTGAGGGTGGGTCAGCATATGGGGAGGGTCTTTTACCCTGTGTCACAGCCGACCTTCACCACCTGTATCCAGAAAGGAGGCTTTTTCCAGACTGGGGCAGCAGATGGGGTGGCGTCTTATTAACCCTACATGGCTGCCTTCAGTAGGAACAAGCCTACTTCTGTGGTTAGATGAGGGGGTGGGGAAGATATTTACGCACAGCCTAGGTATCACCAGGGATGATTTGCTGACATGTTTGGGAACTCCTTAAGCTCTAATCCCCATTGCTGTCTTGCCCCAGTCCGGGGTACTAAGATGGAAGTCACCTTTCTTGGCTTTCTTCTGAAGATAGCTGGGGCTTATCGGTGACTTTCAAGGCTGGGGCATGGCAAATCAGGCCGGAGTGGGGGAGCTTGGGACTCAGGTCTGTAACTGCCCAGCCCCTTTCTCTGCTCTTGTTTCTCTCCACAACCACTCACCCCCCCCTCCCCACTACCCATGGAAGGAGATGTTGGATTCCTTTTCTCCTTCTCACAAAAGACAGACCCAGTGAGTGAATCAGGCAAAGTGCTTAATAATGTGTGTTGTGTGAGCATGGCCTTGGGAAGAACGGGTGTCAGGGATGAGGTGGCATTTCCATGTGCAGCGACCCTTGGTGTTTCCCTTCCTTGGTGGCTCTGGGGTGTGTGTGCGTGCGCGTGAGCGTGCCTGAGTGAATGTGTGTGAATGTAGGGTGTGTGTATCAGTGGTTTCTACTTCCCCTGGGATGCCATCCCAGGAATAGTGGACATAGTCACAGTCCTATGTACAGAGCTTTCTTTTGTATTAAAAAAATTACTCTTTCAATAAATGTATCATTTTTGTGCACAGACTGGGGTCTTTGACTCTGTCTTTGGGGGCTTTTCAACACAAGAGGGGTGAACATGAAACAATCCCAAAATTCTTCCAAGAAGTAAGTCTGGCTGCTTGCTGAAAACAATTAAAAAAAGAAGAGTACCTGGTCTGGGACTTGAACTCAGGATAAGAGTACTCTCCTGTAACCTTTCTCACTCAAGGCTGGTGCTCAACCCCTCCATTTCTGGCTGTTTGCCTGTTAACTGGTGGAAAAAGTCTCATGGACTTCCTTGCCTGGGCTGGCTTGGAATTGTGATCCTCCAACCTCTGCCTCCCCAGGAGCTAGGATATTACAGGCATGAGCCACCAGTGCTTGACTTGAAAATAGCCGTTGAGGGGAGTTTTGAGGCTGTTGGAAGTCTTTATGAGATTGGAGTGGGGGAGGCCTTCTTTGTCCCTGTGCAGGGTTTTGCTCAATGCTTAGACCAGCACAGAGTTGGACGGTTTTCATTAGCAGGCCAAGCGGTCCAACCAACCAAAATGTTAGGGAAACCTATGGGACACGCAATTTAACTGAAAAAATCCGCGCAGCCCTAGGGTGCGAATGTGGGTGTGAATGTCCCACAGTGGATGCTCCGATGGAGGATGGAGGAAGTCGCAGTGCGGGGTGGGGGGAGAGGGGGCTTCATGCCTGGTGGACTGGAAAGCGCCGCCCCGGACCCTCTGGCAGCGCACCGCTTCCCACTCCCTCTCAGCAGGGGCGTGTAGCCACCCGCGGGCACCACGCATGCGCCACGCGCACGCCGTTCCGCCACGCTCGCTCGGCGTGGTCCGCGGTGGGATCCGTAGCCGCCCGGCCGTGCGTGCAGTCACCGTGTGACCCGGAAGGGGGCTGCTGAGGAGGCGGGACCGGGGACGGCGGCAGACCGGTTGCTGGGTTTCAGCGAGGGCCAAGCCTGGCGGTGGGAGGTGAGAGGTGAGCTCTGCGCTGCAGACCCGGTCTTTCCCCCACCTCGTCCCCGTGCGGTCCCTTAACCCCTTTCGGTGGGGGCTGACGAAAGGACATTGGTCGGGTCGTGTCACCCTGTGGGCCGCGACCCCCTCACCCTTGCCCCGCCCCCCATTCCCGCGGCTGCGGTGGCTGCCTCCCCCGCCCC